ATTTCTGACTTTTAACCTTGTAATTTTAAAATTTCAATAAAATATTATTATAAAAAAAAAAGTGAGTAGGGAGAAAGCTCTCTGGTGGCTCAGACTTGTATGGTCGAATATGTCCTTTGCTGGAGTGACTAACTTTCTATTATTCCCAGCCCATAGAGTCTGACAGAGGCCCCTTACCTTTTTAGATGTCCATATCTAAAGCCAACCTTTCTTCTGAGAAAGAGGTTATTTACCTCCAAAGTGATGAAACATTAAAGGTGAATGAGAAAGTAATGTCTTTAATGGCTATTCCCATTAACTGAAGCATGATAAAATACAAAAAGAAATCAGATTTGGAACACACTAGATTTTACTGGGTCAGTTCGTATTAATTCAATAGCTTACAAGGATCAGATCTTAAGTATATTGACCACAAATATACTGAGCAGAGCCATTTATTTTAATTCACGGAGAGGACAATGTTGTGTCTTCTGCTGGTTTGTCTCTACTTAAAATAGATGGCCCCAAAGCTGTCAAGTGTTTTGGACATAATGAATTAGATCCATTAAACAAAGCACCTGATTCATTCAGAGCTAATAAAGTTGATGTCCCACAGGTGACTTGAAGTTCCATAGGAAAAGTTAAATAACTGCCCTAGCCTAATAATCCAGGCAGATTTAGATCACTGAAATTATTACAGTACTTAATTATGGGAATGATTGTCAGTATCTAAAAACCCAGTAATTTAAAACTGGAAATTGAGGCTGATACCCAGGTTGCTGCAGAATTCAGAAAATGCATTTCTCTTCCTGTGTGCATTTTTCTCCAACCCCACTGACATCTCAAGAATACAAAGATCATACCTTTTTTTTTTTGCTTTTTTATTTGGGAAAAGTGCTTCTTACAAAAGGCAGCTGCAAAGTAACACAGACTTCAGCAACAAATTTTGATTCCATTTAAAAGTGAAAGGAAATGCAATCTAAAAGGACAGAAGCAGAACAGTTCAAGGACAATCCAGCAGCATTAAATGTAATGGAAAGTTAAAATTCCTTTGAGGAGAGAAGAAAAGAGAGAGAGAAGAGGTTTTGATGACATCAGTTCTTCCTAGCAGAACTGGTGCCTGGCTGCTTTTTCTATGGATAAAGTAGCAACATGCATGTTGTACAGCTACTGAGCCCACTCAGGTATTCTGCAAGGCAACGAGGAGCCTTCTAAGAGAGAGAAGGGATTTCATGGTTTTAACTCTGCTTAATTATCACACTGTTCTACAACTTTGCAAAGATGAAGAGAGCACAAGAATCCCAATATGGTGGTATCCTAAGTGGATAATTTGGTCCAGATTTTGGCTAATAATATTCCTACACCTGCGTGACTCAGATACACCCAAAAGGAGTAGAAGGATGACTAGGAAGAGAACAGAGTGCTGGTGTCAATAAGGAAGTGCCTACTCTATTAGTTGTTTTAAAGACCATTTCCACAGAATTTGCTGAGACCACAACATTCATTTCAAAATCCAGTTGAATGTTAGATATCATGCACCAAAAGGTTTGTGTGAAGAAGGGGATGAGAGAACAGAGGAAAAGGGTTTAATACACACATATACCAAGTTGCCCGGCCCTTGGGATACAACTCTGTATTTTATTTGTATATACATACATAGAAAGTTCTCCTTTCACGCACAAACACATTTGCCTTTCATGCCGAACAGTAAAAACCCGGAACATTCGCGCCTGGTTCTGGTTACACAGTAGTAAATAGTGAATGTGCAAGTAAACGAGACCAAAACCACAAATGAACACATGTACACGAGGGGGGTTGGAATGGAGCTAAAGCCAGCCCAGAAATTATGTGCTGGCCTGAAATCTGAAGTAGGAAAAATGGTTTTCAAAGTCTCTATTGTGGAACACGGCAGTTGGCCAACATCTGCCCATCCCCCCACAGTACAGCCAGTGCTCTCAGGTTTGTATCTGAGCTCTTAAAGATGAGTGTGGAAGTCCTGTAAACATGTGAACCCTGGAACTGGGTGAATCCTGTCAGGAACACAGATATAAAGCAACAATTCTAATCTAACTGTCTGACAGTTAAATTCATTTTTACAAAAAACTAACGTTTTAAAGGTTTATTTCATGTCATTTGTTTAACAGAAGAAAAAAAAAACACACTCCTGGGGCTGGGAAGGGGACAGGTTGGAGGGGAGGGAAAGGAGACAGACCCTGGGGGAAAAAGTTATTACAACAGCAGCACCTGGAATTGATAGGCCTGCCTAGGAGAAAAACACAGGCACTGCCACAACACCACAGGAAAAGAGCTACTGCCTGGGAGGGAAAAAAAAACTGAGCAGACAGTCCAAACACCACAAAGATGTGCTATAGGTCCAAGTCATAATAGTCTTCCAGCTCATCATGAAACAAGTCCCATTCATCTTCGGAGTCTGTTAGGTCATCATCGCCTCCTGCCGCCAGCAACATGAGAAGCATTTCACCCAGCTCAAAGGTCACCACCTCATCCTCATCATTCTCAAAGGGATCGCTGCTCTCCCTCTCTTCAATGAATTCCCAGAACCGGTTTCTCCGCTGAGCCTACAAGTAGAGCAGAATTACTGGCCTCGGATGAGTGCCATTCCCCAAAGAAACCCACTCGTCTGACGTAGATGATTCCAACAGCTAGCCTTCCAATACTCCTTGTTCCTCAAACATCTCTAGACAAAGGGGCATTATTTAGAGCAGTGTTTCTCAACCCTTGCCACCCCTCCTCTTTGCCTGCTCCCCGCAAGGTGTCGGCTTGTTTTGGGTGTGGGTACACCCCCCTTATACAACCCCCAATAGACAAACAA